ACTGTGTTTTAAAGAGAGCTGGATCTAGTTGTTAGGTTGTATAGAGCTTGTCTTAGAGCTGATCAGTATGACACCTTGCAGTTAGAGTTCTTGGCTCTCAGTGATCTCTGAAGAAAGTTGGTATGGAATGAGCAGGTAGAGAGAGATGTGCCAAGTGGAAGCATTTTCATTAGCCATTCTTGTCCTTCTTCAGACAAAATGCAACTTGGTCTTGGCAGCCACCCAGAATGCATAAAAGCTGGAGGAGTGAAAAACTGGGTAAACAGGTAAAAGCTGGAGTGGGCAGGAAGATACTTGGACAGGGGTATGGGGACACATGCCCAAAATGTTCTTTGTCTTCTAGTTAAGGTGCCGGCACCTGTCAACCTGACGGTGACGAAAACAAACGACCAGGAGTATGAACTGAGATGGGTAAAACATGCCCTACATTATAAAAGTACAAGACAGACCTATGAAGTCTGGTACTGGAAAGCAAACCAGCCCTTGGAGGTAGGTGATTGTGGTGCTGGGTGACTGGGTCTCCTGGGAAATGTTGGATAGGAATGATAATTTTTCTTCCCCTCTTTAATCCATTCTCCTTTTCTCTCTTCAGATTGCCAAGCCCACCAGCATCAGCATTGATGAGCCCCCTTTGGTCCTTCGCCAGGGCAGTTTGGACCCATTAACATGCTATAGGGCAAAAGTACGGGCAAGGGTGCGTGCATCCTCTGCCTATAATGGCACCTGGAGCGAGTGGAGTGAGGAGTACACCTGGAAAACAGAGCACGGTACCTCTGACATGGTGTTCTATGTCAGGGATTTTATTGAGAAACAAGGTGTGGTCCATAGGGGAAAAGTCCCCTGGGCTGGGGCTTAGGGGGAGCCATGGTTTCCCTATATTAAATCAAGCAAAGATCCTTCCCAGAGGTTCCTTACTGCCTGGCCCCATGCTTCAATTGTTAAATATGGGGTATACTGGAATGGGAGCCATGGATGTGAGGACGCTGCTAAGGGACAGTGTGAGAATCAGGGGTTGGAAGTGAATGATCAGGGTGAGGAAGGTGCCACAAAAAGGATTGTTGTCCTGTGATATATTAAAGTGTTTTGCATCTGTCTTAGATCCATTTCTCCCAGGCAAGGTGAAGATCAGTTGGCCATAACATTTCCCCCCTATACACACATGAGTAGTTTTTCTCTGTGCTGCAAACCCTGGAAGTATCAAGGTAATTACTGTTAAGGGGCATGACACACAGTGATTCCTAGTGAGCAAAGTTAACCTGAAAGTGGACCACCAGGGAGGGAAATGCATGAATCTAAGCAGAGGGACAAAGCTTTCAAGTAGGAGGTGTGACCAAATACATTCCTAGACCTTCAAAGGTTGATTTTTTTCTTTCTTGTAAGCTTGAGCAAGTGTCAAGGAATTATAGTAGCTGTGGTCTCTATCTCTTTCCCCTTTCCTTTCCTTCTCCTTCATGTTACTGATATGTTCTCTCATTCTTAGGTTTGCTCCTTTTTAGTCTAAAAATGTCATTACTTTCTTAATAGTCCTAACAGGGGGCTGGGAAGGGTTGTCTCAGTATTTTTCTCTCTCCTTTTTTGTTCTCAGTTTTGGCACCATATGTACTCATAGTTATTGCCATATTCTTCACCATCATGCTGGTAGCAGTTGGCTGGTACAGCTGTAAATATCTCCTCAGGTAAGTCTGTACTGTTTGGTGAAGGGATTTTCCAGGGGCCATGGCAGAGTGAGTGATCCTCCATGTCCTCCATGATCACCTTAGTTCAGCCCTGGGGTACAGCAGGGAGCTCTGTCTGTGACTGGAAGATGGGGTTAGTGCAGTGTCCTGGAGGTTCAGGGCCTCCATGGTGTTATGGTGGCCTAGGGCAAGGCTGTGTGCTTGATGCAGCCTTTGCCTCCCAGCATCCACAGACCAGATGCCAACTCTGCATCACTGTTGTTGTTGTTGCAGCAAGAAGAAGAAATGGGAGGAAAAGATTCCCAATCCCAGCAAGAGTCGCATGCTGCAGGGCTTCTTCCAGGTAAGAGGGGGCTGCACGCTGTAGAGTTGCACCTGGGAAGAGGGAGGAGGAAGGAGGGCAGGCTGCCCTGGGCCTTCCTGCTAGGGGAAGTAGCCAATCTGGAGTCTGTCCACTCACAACCCCCAGCTGGCAGGAATTGTTGAGGATGCTGTGGGCAGAGTGGATACCGCAGACAAGATCTTTGGTCTCTTCTGTCTTTCACCATGCTTCAGTGGCCAAACCTGAGGTTTTAGACATAAAGGGGCCCGCCCGCATGCACGCACACACGCACAGTCTCCCTATTCATCCTGCAGTATTTTTTTCCCCAACCTGTATTTTTATTACCTGTTACTGGGTGAACCTCACAAGGTGCAAGAGGACAAAAGGATCTATGCAAGCTTCAATGTCCTGTGCTCAATTATTTTTAAGGGTAAAGATCTTCTCCCAATATTCACATTTCCCAGGCAGGATCAGCATAGTGTTTGATTTCTTGGACCCAGGGTAGGCATTGCCCCTATGGGCTGTGGAGGGATAAGACAGTTGGATGAGTCATCATCATCCTGCCCCATCCCATGGAACAGTCCATCTCTTTGATAGGCATCTGGCTGGGGTCATCTGACCCCAGCACTCTTTACTGCCCACGGAAGGGGGCTGCCCAGGGCAGGGGGTCGGACTCGATCTGTTGAGGTCCCTTCCAACCCTAGCATCTATGAATCTATGACACTTGACTGATCTAGGATGATGGAACTTGTCTAGGTTCCCTTGCTGAAGACATAATCCCTGCACTCCTCTCCCCTCCTTGATCTTGTTTCTGGTGGCATAATTCATCCCTGATGCTTCTCCCCCGTCTGCCTGTGGTCCTTTCCTTGGTCCTATTTGTGTGGTGTCTGTGTGCCCCACAGTCTTTAATAGTTTTATCCTCATACTGCCTTATAGAGTGGAAGTCTGTGAAGTCACTTATCTAAGGCCACACAGGAAGTTTGAGGCAAAGCATGGACTAGGCAATGATCCTAAGCATTGGGGTCACCCCTCCCATACTCATATGCACAAATTTGTCCTGTAGAGATGAAACAGCCATCTCTACAGGACAAGCTTTCAATACTGTGCTGGGCTATAATCCCACTTTAATTACCATGGCTATTTTTGCCACTGTGTATTACTTTGCATAGCTGGACTTCCTCTTTCTCTCCTGCTGATCAATCTCCCAATGCATTTAATCCCGCCTGGAGAGTCTTTGAATTTTGTTAAGTTCTACCTAACTGAAATAAGATGGTTTCATCAGCAAACTTCACTACTTTGCTGCCCAAACCTAGCTCCAAAAAAACAACACTTTTTTTTTTTTTTTTTTACATAGAACACACTCCCAAATATAATATACACCTTGTTTTTGAAAGGTAGAATTAAGAAAAAAGATAGATATAGCTATAGATATATATTATATAATATATTTTGTGTTCCAGGTCAAATTAGCCAAATCAGTTCCAAATCATACCAACTGAGCAGAACTCAATCATTCCAAAAACCATATTGATTGAGCAGGCAGAACTCAATCATTCTAAACACTGTGTATGGTGCTACAACCGGGGAGCATCCTTCATCCCACGCTCTCACCAGGACTTCAGATACTCCCAAATCCATTGGCAGGCATCCCACATGCAGGCTCAAGCCCAGAGGTTTTGGGATTTGGATGCCCCCATCTACACTTGATCTGAGCCAAAAGGCTGAGAAGCGATGGATATATGATTTTGAAAAGAGCTAAAGAGTCTGTTAAAGAGAGGAAGAATCTTAACTAAAGAGGCTGTGAAATAGAAAGACCAGGAGCACACAGCAGAATTACCCTAAGAAAGGTTACCTTGATTAGAGGACCATCTAGATTTAAAAAGAGAAACAATGGCTGACACCTGTAGAGTGAAGAACTATGAGCAATTGACTCCCTCAGCTGCCTGAACAATACTACAGCTGCTGCACTGTAGAGCATGAATCAAACCAGGGTATTTCCAACTCTAGGGCAACAAATCCAGCTTCCAGGCTTAATATGTGCACTCCAATTTGGGGGGCTGATTTTTGGAGAAAAGGCATGCGTTGTAGGTGACAAAATATGGTAATTCATACTGGGTCTAGGACTAACCCTTGGGATAAGTCACTGGGAACCTCGCTTTGCTCAGAGGAGCAGCTGTTTCATAATGACCGGCCATTTCTGATCACTTAATTTATTTGAAAGCCAAAACTGGACCTTCTTCTTTACCCCATAGTTTCAAATGTCACTTGTTTTAGATGCCTTTTCTTATCCAAAGCTTTCCAACACCCAGGACATAGGGTGGGGTATCACTATGTTGTTATGATTTTCTGTCTTCTGCCCCTACCAACTGTGTTCCCTACAGCCTCTGCAAGGCAAAGCTACCATTGCACGAAGTAGCAGCACCTGCCTACGCAGTTGCTGCTGACTCCTTGAGTAGAACTGCCATTACACATGCTTCCCGGCATGACACACAGGGCAGAGATGGGTGATGTGGAAATGTAAGAAAGAACAGAATAGACCTGACAGAAGCACCAGGAGCAGTACTTCCTTTGGTGTATGCCTGCCTGCATCTACTGCTCTTGGCTCTCTCTTGCTATCAAAGGATCCCTGCTTCCTGAGGGTGTGCTGCCACTGTAGTTTCTCTTTTCAGAAGGTATCATTAAGAAATCAACTGCCCAGCAGCCTGCCAGACTTCAACAGGGAGAACCATTTGGTGAAGGAGCAGGCCAACTCCCTGCAATTGCTGGATGGGTGAGTGAACAGTATACTGCTGAGTTGGTGATCGTGCTCTCCAGCATGTCCTGAGTGCCCCCAGGATCTCAGCATGCCTGGTGATGGCTGCTTCTATCAGGGAGGAGGTGTAGCAGGAGGCTTGGTGTGCTTGCTATTTTAAGAGAAGGCAGACTGCAGATGGAGCAGTCTGCAGGTACTGCAGGATGCAGTCAGGTGTCCCATGATCCAAAAGGGGGCTGGGTTTGCAGGATATAAGCCCAGAGCCTGAGCTGGAGTGGGGGGGTCTAATCCTGGCAGTCAAGATGCAAGGACTTTCTGGGCAGCAGGGCTGCACCCAGGCTCCTGCCATCACCTGAACTGCAGTAAACAGACTGGTGGTTTAGGGACTGAGACAAGGGGAGGCAAAGTGGTCTCAGTGGGCCCAGGAGTGGGGCCAGGGCCCAAGAGGTAGGGGCCAAGGCTGAATAGCAGGGCCACAGCCAAATGGTCATGAGAACAAGGAGGGTCAGGGACCCATAGCCTACAAGGCATGAGAGGCAGAGTCAGGGACTCCTAGCCCAGGAAGGGTGAGCAGGGCTAGGGAGTCTGGAGGTCTCAACTGACCTAGGAGCAGGGCCAGAGCCTGAGAAGAGGGGTCAAAGGCTGAGGAGGGCCACAGCTGGAGATCATCAGGGTCAGGGACTGACAGCCCAGAGAAGGGTGGAGTCAGGGGCAGGGGCCCTGTGCTTGAGGACAGACAGTATTGGGCTCAGGGACCCAGGGCTGTACCCAGGAGTAGTCAAGTTGGGGGAGTGCCCAGGTGTGGGCAGAGAGAGACAGCTAGTTAGCAAATGGTGACATCAGCGAGGTATAGGCATGGTATAAGGGGCATTTGGAGCCATGTTATGAGCCCTTAAAGCAAAGTAGAGACACCTGAATACCAACATGGGATCAGGGATCCCTGGGGAAGCCTCCTTTTCCAAAGATGTATGAACAAGAAGGCAAGACAGGGGAGGTGAAGGGGAGTTAGCCTGAGGATGAGGGCTGAATAGGGGTTGAGCGGCCACCAGTGGGCATCATGGCCTGTTACAGGGGGTGGAACATTTAACTCATGTTTGACCTCAGCATGTCCTCTGTGTGGCCATATGGAGACACCAGTGAGTGGATGTGCAAGTTCAGGGTTCTACTATGTACGAAAGGATAAGGAAAAAACATGGCCCTCACACTCTCTTGGCTACCCCTCTGGAGATAGCCTTGCATAAATGCCCTTGGTTTCCCAATCTGGAAACAGTCATGCATCACCCCCCACCACAGACTAACCCATATCCTGCCTCCTCTTATCAGGTGGACATGACAGTCTTTCTTGCTCTTGAAGCTAATTTTGGCTCTCATAGTATAAAGGAGCCATAAGGGAAATGCAGTGGCCACAGGAGCTGTGTAGGGTCATCAAAAAACTGCCCGTGGTGCCATTCCCACAGCCCTGTGTTTGGGGAGCTACAGAGGCAGAGAGAGGATGTGGACATAGTGTTCTAGCCAGGGAAGTTAGAATAACCCCTGGGCTCAGATAAGAGTTCTGTCTTTTAGGGAGCAGGTGCCCAGCTATTTTTGGTGCCTTGGGTTGGGCATCTGACATCTCTAGGCAAGCCTGGGAAACATGAGCTATTCAGGCTGTTTGTTATAATCCCTCTCTCGTCTTCCCTGCCCCCTCCCTTCATCCAGCTTCTTGTTCAGGGTCAGTAAGATCCTTGTGGCCAGGACACTTTATTCTCTAAATATTAGGGCTGTACGAAGCTTCAGTCCTTGACTTGATTCAGTGGATATTTGGACCAATTTGGTGGCCGAATCTCCAAATCCAAATCAAATCGGAGGACCCTTAATCTCTCTGAATCAAATCGGAACCCTCCAAATCGATTTGGAGAGGTTCAAAAAGATTCAGACATAGAGACAGCTTTTAAATATTTTGTCTACATACCTCCAGGCAGCAGGGGCTCTGAGCGTTGTGGTGCTGGGGCACATGGAGTGTCCCACAGAAGTGCTGGGGGCTCCCCAGTGCACTCAGCAGCAGACCCAGAAGTGGACCAAAAGCACTTCCAGTCCACTTGCAGGTCCACTAGGGAGCATGCAGGAGGGTTTCCCTGCACCTGCCCAACTCAGTGACTGGTGCCTCCTGGGTTTGAGGGGGCACCTGGGGTCCCCCTGTGGCTGATCACCAAGCTGGGGGGGGGTGCAGAGGGATCCCCCTGCATGCTCCCCGGTTGACCCAGAAGTGGACCAGAAATACTTCCAGTCCACTTCTGGGTTCACTGCTGAGCACGTGGAGGCCCCACCCTTGCACTCCTGTGGGACGCTCCATGCGCTCTAGCATCCCAGCGACCATGAGCCACGCCTGCTACCTCAAGGTATGTAGAAAAAACTTTTAAAGCTGTGTTTATGTCCGAATCACTGATTATCTGAATCAGCATCAAATCTTCACATTCAGATTCAGTTGAATTGAATCAGGGACAGTGATCTGAATCAATGAATCGAATCACTGTCCCTGATTCGGGCCAACCCAAATCCGCATCAAATGGAGCCCACTTCGCACACCTCTACTAAACATGTCTGTGAAGTGCCAGGCAGTAGGGCTGTGCGAAACAGCACCGTTCTGTTTCACCTTGAGTTTCAAAGTTTCGACAGAACAGCATTCCGTTTCAAATTTAATTTTGATTCAGAACAGCTGTTCCATTTTGCTTCATCAAAACAGTGAGGCTGTTTCGACGTTTTGCTAGATCGGACTTGGGGCGGGGATGTGACTCCCCATCCCCCACGCTACATTGGACTGGGGATGGGGAGTCAGCCCCTGGTCCAATCTAGCCCCAGGGATGGGAAGTCAGTCCAACTGGGCTGACTTCCCACCCCTGGTCTGATTTAGCTCTGGGGATGGGAAGTCAGCCCAGTTGGGCTGACTCCCCATCCCCTGCCAGATCTTGCGCCAGGGATGGGAAGACTGACTTCCCATCCCCAGCGCTATGGTCGAAACATCTTGACTTTCAAAATGTTTTGACTAGCCTTGTTTTGTTTCGAGACTGTTTCAATGCCCTTTGTTTCACTTCGATTTTGCTGTTTCAACCTCAAAATGAGTCAAAACGGCTGTTGAAAATTCGCTCGCACAGCCCTACCAGGCAGTTATGGAGCTTCACAAATGCAGAGGTTGGTGATCCCATTCTCAAAAGGGTGACAGGCAGCTTGATCCATGTGCCATGGGAATGTGGGAATCCCCACTAGTCCACATAGTCCAGGGTCACGTCACCACAAGAGGAGAGTGCTAGATGCTCCAGATGGAAGTGCAGGAAACCCTGCCATGCAGGAAAAGGTTCTTTCTGCCTCTCAGAAGCAGTGTTGCCAACTATCGTGATTTTTGGCATTGTTCTTAAAGTTGGTGCTTCAGGAATGTGAAAAACTTATCTCTTTCTTTTATATATATTTGGAAGAGCTAAGTTGTTCACATTCCTGAAATGCTGACTTTAGGAACAATGCCAAAAGTCATAGGAGTTGGCAAGCAGAAGGTTCTCTGCTGCCTCAGCTCAGCTCAGTGCTGCTCAGCTCCTGTCCATCTGCAACACCTTCTGCAGGTGACCTCTCCTTAGCACCTGATTCCTTTTGTTTTTTTGTTTTTGTTTTTCCTTGACTGCAGGGAGAAGATTATTTCAAACTCCCCAGGAGCTGAGGCATCGAAGACTAAGTTGTCTTATATTGTGCTAGAACTAAAAAACCAGCATCAGTTTTCTCCAGTGTCAAGTCCTGCTTCACTTCCTTCATTCCCATTTGATAGCATCTCAAATCAAAATACCAGTCAGTCCTCCTCACCAACACTGCTTACCAGTGTTGGTGCCACTAAAGCAGACACTGCCTCTCAAAAGCCTATGACCAGCTTCAGTTATAATGGCCCATACTTGTTCTTCCCTTCTGGTCAGTCGCAGACCAATACCCACCAGGACCTTGGAGCTTCTCCAGTGAGAATAAGGGAGAAACCAGTGTTCTTGGAGTATGTGTCTCTACCACAGAAGGGCTATTTCCAGTTCCCACTGTTGCAAAAGACAGGGGCAACTCACCTCTATCCTTTTGCATGTTTGGACCAGAAAGAGAAGAAGCATCCAGTTGCTGGAGGGCAAGATGCATTACAAGACCAGCCGGCAGGTGAGGAAGAGGTGAAAGAGAAAAGAGAAGGTCAGAGGTCACCAATTGCTGTCCCCGTTATCAGCTCCTCCCAGAAATGCCCATTGGAGTACATCACCACTGAAGGTCTGTGCTTGGTACCAGCAAAAGAATCTGTCAATCTCTCACCTTCCCTGGACCCTCAGGAGCAGATGCTCACTACTGCTGGCACATTAACTTCCAACTCCCAGCTGCCCCAAGCCACGGATGACCCCTCCAGCCCAGCATTGCCCTCTGGGAGGTCTGCTGTCTCACTCCCAGTTCCAGCTCAAGCATCAGCCACTCCTCCTGGATCACAGCAGCCTGAACTGGGAAGCAATATGACACTCCCACTCCCACAAGGCCTCCCCAAACGTATCAGCCTTTCCCACTCTGCTTCACTGGAGGAGGTTGCACAAGAGAATGATTTGGTCACATTTAACCCTGATGGTGGCAGACCAGTTTTCCTATACCAAGTGGGTGAATATTGCTTCTTCCCTGGCCTCAAACCCAGTGAGAAGACCCTCCTGAGTCAGAAAGCCTCCTTGGCTAGTAAGCTTTCAGAAGACAGTGGGGCAGTTGGAAAGCCTGCATGAGATGGAGGATCCACCAACAGCAATAAAGATGATGTGCTTTGCATGCAGGCCATTCAGCTTTTCAAAGCTCGGAAGACTGATGATTACTTTGGTGGACAGCAGCCTGCTGTGTGGGTCAGGGAACTGTGCTAAAGCTGAGAGGGTGGGAGGGGACAGACAAATATCAAGACACTAGGTGACTGAATGCAACTGCAGCTATTCAAGGAATATCAATTCTGTTGTGTTCCCCATCATTCCACTCTCGCCACAAGAGAGGAATGACAGTGGGCAGTTCTTCTCTTCAGGTCTCTACACTTCCAAAATGAATGAAAGACTTCAAATAGCACCAGCTCCTCTTCCATACTGGGTGTGTCTATATGTGCATTTACTGCGCAGTAAGTGGTTTTTATGCTGGCATCTACATGTGCAGGCATTATAGCGCAGTAACACTGTGTGTGGACTGATTTGGGATTAAAGTTAGTCCCAAGTCAGTCCACATAAACAGGGTTACTCCACATTAAGACATCTCCATGTGCCTTACTGTGCAGTAGCTAATCGGGTATAAATTTGCTACCTGCATCATATAGGTAGCAAATTTATGCCTAAGTCAGCTAAGTTGCTGTAGCTACTGCACAGTATGGGTGCCTGTACTGCACAGTAATTTTTGGTTACTGCTCAGTAACAGTGCATGTGTAGACCTGCCCACTGTCAATATAATTATGTTGGGGAATAAGCCACATATTCCCATTTGGAGGAATTTTCTGCATTCACACAGCTCTTGCCCCCTTGCTACAAGCATGTTAATGTAGCCCTTCTGCCAGTGATTATCTTTCTAAAACTTAACTGTATACCTTTTCCAGTTCTCGCTCAAGCTAGGGAAATAAATTATATTGCTTGAGTTCCTTCAATGAGCCATATTTCCCATTGCCAAGGAACAAGTCAATGGGCACAGAACAAACAAAACCTTATGGGAGAACATGGGATAAACCTGGGAAAACCAGACTAATTAGTCACAATATTAGATGACAGTCCTGATCCAGGATGTTCTGGAGGCAGCCTAACTATAGTATTCCTCTCAGTTGTGGATGGCTAATGAGGTTGTTCACCTCTTATCTTTTCCATTAATTCCCTACCTGTAGTATGCTGCCTAGGTTTGGAGGAGTCCAAACTCTTGGCAGGTCCATCTCTTGTCTTTAAGGTATGTGCTGATCTGGGGGCTGACGGTACCTCCAAGCTTTGGTGCTAGGAAGGGAAGCACTCACTGGGGTCCTGCAGCAAAGCTAATGCTCTTGGCAGCCTCAGTCCACCGATTCTCAGTTCCACTCACCTCTGCAATACCTCAGAAGTGCTCATCATCTCATGACATCTCTGTTCTTCATCACTGTGCTGTTCACTTCCATGTGAGGAAGATGTCTGGTGGTATGGTGCTTTTAACTTTGCTTTTGGTGGTTACAGGACCCAGACCTGAAGCTTTTAATGGTTTAAAATACTATTTGCCCTGTATTAAATTGTATTTAAACAATTAAACCCATAATTAAGAGCTTCTGTGATTTGATTGCCTGCAGATGCCAGGAAGAAACCTCTGTGTAATTCCTCTTGAAGGCATAACTTGGTTTGGTGGTGGCATTTGGAGGCAGGCTGGTTTGTATTAGTACTACTAGTGGCATGAAGAAACTTCTCAGGTGCCTGGCTGGAAGGTCTGATCCATGTGCTCAAGATTAAACTACTCACTGGCTATGGGGGCCATGAAGAAATTTCTGCCTAGTATTAGAATGGCAGGGACTGTTGGGGTTCTTTGTCTTCTTCTGTAGGTGAGGGTGTCATAGTCCTCATCCTAAGATCACTGGCCATTGCAGGGCTCCTTATTTTTCACACTCCCTTCCTGTGGCCTGCTGTCCTTTTTTTTTCGAAGGGTGGGGGACGGGGGAGGGGATTGTACTAAAGACCTTTGTTAGAAAATGTTTTATGACACTTTGAGGATGATGGATCTGCGGGAGGGAACAGAGTGGATGTTCTTCTGGACCTCTTTGGAATTGAAGTGTATTACAAGGTTGCCTGTAATTGCAGGGGGCAGGACTCTGTGATCTGGTTCCTTCCCATATTCCCTCATCCCAGGTAGATTTGATGCATCTGTCCTGTTCATTCTCCATCCAGCACATACAATAGCATTTTATCACCCCCAAATTCACAACTCAGCTGTATATTAACCAAAATGTTCTGGTCTGTGCCATACATGAAATGCAAACATAGTCTGCCCCATACTGTCCTTTCCCCTTAAGTGTCAACACATGCTAACAAATAATTCCTTCCCCCTGCAGGTCTCTGTTCGTCTGCAATCATCTGGGTTGCTCTTCCACCCATTCACTGATATGTGACAGTGAGCTCCCCATTCTTTTGGGTCTACAGGACACCAGGCTTGTATCAGCCTTGCTGTGTGGTCATGCTGCAAAATGTACTTGACTTTACTGCAAACTGCACAGCATGAAGATCAAAGATCATGCAATGTTTAAGACTGGCTTGAGCCCCTAGAATTAAATCCTTCTCATTCTGAAAAGGGAGATGTTTATTCAAGGAGGCAAAAATCATCCAGCTGCTAGATGTAGGAATCATACAAGAGCAATATGGGAAGCAATTTACATACTGCGGGATACACAAGATGCTTTACTGCACTTCAGACTAATGTGCAATAAAACATCACCATCTACATGTGTGTATCAATTACTGCACATTAAATTAGTCTAATGAGCCATTTGCTAGTGCCAATACATACAGGTACTAGAAAAATGGCTCATTAACTAATATGCTAAAATGCATCTGTAGACGCTGACTGAGAACAATTTGTTCCTGGTCAGCCCAGGCAGCAGGGGGGCACAACTGCTGTCTGGCTAAGCCCCAATCTCTGCAGGGTGCGGTCAGCTGTCCTGGCTTCAGAGCAGTTCCCTGCCAGCCATATGGAAATTGGGGCCAACTCTGATCTCTGCACAGCTAGAAAGGAGCTGTCCTGGAGCTGAGACAGCTCCCCCCACCCCCTGGAGATGGAGGCTAGCCTCAATCTCTGCACAGCTGGCAGGGAGTTGCCCTGGAACTGGAACAGTTCCTCTCTCCCCCCGGAGTCCAGGCCTGACCACTATGTCCCCTGCTGGCCTGGGGCTAGCACCCAGGGGAACCTGGTACTCCCCCTGGCTGCTGCAGAGGGCAGAGCAGGGCAGGAGCAGCCTTGGACTGAATTGCTCCCAGCAGGAGCAAATTTGCTACTGACGGATGCACATTCAGATGCATGCCCAGGCGCAGTTTAATGTGCCTGAATTTTCTGCACAGCAAATGTAGGCAACATTAATCACACATGTAGATGTGCCCACAGTGTAGGAACCCACAGAAGTGAGATGGCGACTATCCCAAGTAGCAACAAGAATTGTTGAGGATGGTACAAGAATGGTTAGAAGATAAAAGGTGAAACAGAAACAGGAAGTCATGGCTTGTAGCAAGGAAACCTTTCCTAACTGAGAGGTGTAATATAGGGTTACCATATTTCCAGTTCCAAAAAAGAGGACACCTGTTGTGCTGGTGGGGCAGAAGGGTATATGATTGTGGGGGGTAGTGATATGCCGGTGCCCTGCCCCTGCCCATTTTGTTGCCCCTCACTCCCAAGCCACAGCCTCTCCATCCCTGCTGGTGCCCCTCATTCCCAAGCCACAGCCCCCTGCTCTCTCCAGCCCTGCAGTGTCTCCCGGCTGCCCTGCCCCCGTGAGCACAGGCACTGGCCCTGGTGCCACCAGCCTGCCGTGCAATCACGTTGCTGGCCCAGCCACACAGCTCCCTGCTGCCCTAAAGACTGGAGGGGCAGGCACCTTCCCCATTGCCCTGCTGCAGCCCGTGCCCGAATAGTTTCCCCAGCACTGGCAGGCACCCGTCCCCCCTCACGTGCCCATCCCCTCACACACCCTGCCACACACACACCCACCCACACCCTGCCACACATAGATGTGCACACCCTCCTCCCCACAACTCCCCAGACAGTTCTCAAGCCCTGGCCCTCCAACCCCTGTCCCCACAAACTTACCTGCTTCCAGCTGCTGGGGCTTCTTCCACCCTGCATGCTGGCCATGTGCATGTGCGCTCTCCCCCCGACCACTGCCCCCAGCCCCGAGCAGCTCCTTGCTAGGGCAAGCCAGGAAGTGCTGGGAAAAACTTTGAAGCTGAGCTGACCAAAATCCTGGACATTTGATCGTATTTTAAAAAACTGCCCAGACAGACATTGGAAGATTCAAAAAGAGGACGTGTCTGGGAAAACCCAGATGTATGGTAACCCTAGTGTAATTTCCTGTGGAGTAATCTCCAAAGGGACAAGCTCCCACTACAGGGAGACACAAAACTAGAATATAATTTCAGGAAAAATTGTGCAGGGAATATGCTGTGCAGATAGACATGCCAGAACCCAATAGTCCCATGTAGCTCTAATTGCTAAAATACTGCATTATTTTACAGAATCATAGAAATTAGGGTTGGAAGGGACTTTAGGAGGCATTTGCAATTCAGGATTTACTGCCTTCAAGGGCATTGGCTGTTCCTAGATTATTATAAAACATCTAAATGAGCTGCTTTAGCAGCATTTGTAAGGTATTAGTTATGCCAAAGAGAGAAAATCTGGTTGTCTGTTGAATCTGTATTACAAAAGTTTTGCATCTTAAAAACACAGCTGCCACCTAGTGATCTGACCTTGGAAAATCATCTAGGTTGAGGGTTTGTCTACACTGCAGGGTACAGCAATGGTAACTCAAACAAACGTTAAGCAAGCTAGCTCACGTACTGCTTTTGTCAACAGAGAGTTCTGCAAGGGTACTTTACCTTGCTGAAGCAGAATGTATTAGCCCATGCCGAGATCTCTGGTGGTACAGGCAGACTGTTCCAAGGGTGTTGGTATGGGCAGACTGTTTCCAATACCTGAACCAACTTATTTAAAATGTGAGCTTGGATATCACTGAACTCTGCAGAGTACACATAACCTTGGATATGTCATCTGCCCTGCGGCATGTTTGGGTCTGACTTCAGTGCACTGTATCAGGGTTGTTGAGGAGAGGAAGAGTAATTCTTCCTACTGTGTTAAATGGATGCTGCCTCTTCACCACTGTGCAGGATACAGTCATTCCTTTGGATAATGTGAAGTCGTCTAAACAGCATTTCAGACTCTACACGTGTGGAGAGTGAATCCAGTGCTCTTGAATCCAGGAGGCTGATGGCACCACCATGAGTCAACCAGAGTGTAGATGGAGAACTGTCCAAAAAGGGAGGCTGGCAACAAGGATGATACACTGGGATACTGCCATTTCTGGGGGGCCCAGATTGGCTGATTTGGGGTACTGGATGGTTTTTTATATAAAACTTGGGAAAATTACTGTGTTAAAACTAAAATAGAGCTAACATTACTTTTCTTAAAATATAGAAGCGGAACTAAAACCAGCCCTGATTCAGTTGCCACAAAGAGGTATGTGGATGTTGGGGTACAGAGCAGGGCCTGACTTAAGAACTTGTCCCCAGCCTAAAAATGAGCTGGAGGCACTGTGTAGCTGGATGCCTCTAAGTTTTCCCAATCCAGCTCTCTCTTGGTTTGTTGCTCTCCTTGTTTGTCTCATCCTGGATTTTTTAAATGGGGCAAGAAGGCCATTTGTACCTTGGCTTACTATCCTCCATGTGTTGGCATGTACCAACTCATCCCAGGAACTGGGTACACAAGCTGTGTATCAGCCTAATGAATCCCCAGCTACTCTGTTTTTTTGGTACCCTGGCAATTCTTGGGCCTTAACCCCACGCTCATGGAGGTCAGGGTGAGAGCTTTCATTCCATTCCCTAGTTATTTTTTATAAGGACCATGAAGTGCCTTGAGGCTGCACTCTCCACATGGAGCTGCCCTTGACCACATACACCTTACTACTTGAATGATGGTGGAGCTCTGAATGTTGAGACCTGGCACCCTCTGTACTGAAGCACAAGAAAGCCTCAGAGATCTCTACCAGCTGCCCTTTGACCAGCTCTGGCAATATGTGACTAATTGTTTCTCCCTAAACCCAAACAACCATGAACTTCAGAATACTTATGGGTTAATTATTGCTGGTGATGGATAATCTGCCCATCATTATCACTGGTTACATTTTAACCTCCTATGCTTGCAAAAGTGCTCCTTGGCAGTCAGTGGGCTCTGACCTCAACCCACCGGTGCCAGAGACTGGAGAAAAACCGTCATTCAAGTTGGGAATCAGTTCATATCTGAGGGCATCTTTATGTACCGATATTTCTCAAATTAGGGAGAGCCACCCAAACAGCACTATAGGTCCTTTTCAGTGGTATCATGAGCATGCACCCACTTTGTATTTATCTCAAATTAGTAAATGTTGTAAATGAAATAAATGTTATTGATGAAAGCAGGTCCCAATCCAGAGATGTTTGAGAAACACTGCAATGGATCTATCCCCATTTGGTTTTCCCTTCTTTGGGAGATGGATCTAGATCAATGGCTCTCAAACTTTTTAAACTCATACCACTCCTTGTTAGACTTGAGGCATCCCTTGGAAAATGCCGGTTCTTTCTTAGTTTTACTTGTTTTTTGTCTATGGAAATACAATAGAGCAGTTTTTCTGCTGTAAAGAACATAGTTCACAGCCTGTCATAGACTCATAGAAAATTAAGGTTGGAAGGGACCTCAGGAGGTCATCTAGTCCAACCCCCTGCTCAAAGAAGAAGCAGCCCCAACTAGATCATTTCAGGTAAGGCTTTGTCTACCCAGATCTTAAAAATCCCCAAGGATGGAAATTCCACAGCCTCTCTGGATAGCCTGTTCCAGTGTTTTACTACCTTCCTCATGAGGAAGTTTTTTGTAATATCTTACTTAAACTTCCCTTGTTGCAACTTGAGATCATTGCTTCTTGTTCTGGCATCTGCCACCACTGAGAACAGTCCAGCTCCAACCTCTTTGGAATCACCTTTTAGGTAGTTGAAGGCTGCTATTATATCCCCCCTCAGCCTTATCTTCTCTAGACTAAAAAAGCCATTTCCTCAGTCTCTCCTCAGAAGTCGTGTGTCCCAGCCCCCTAACCATTTTCGTTACTCTCTGCTAGACTCTCTCCAATTTGTCCACATCCTTTCTGTAGTGAGGGGCCCAAAACTGGACACAATACTCCAGATGTGGCCTCATGAGTGCTGAATAGAGGAGAATAATCACTTTGCTTGATCTTCTGGTAATGCTCCTATTAATGCAGGCCAGTATGCCATTACCATTCTTGGCAACACAGGCAAACTGTTGGCTCTTATTCGGCTTATTGTTCACTGTAATCCCCAGGTACTTTTCTGCAGAGCTGCTGCTTAGCTAGTTGGTCCACAGCCTGTACTGGTGCATGGGATTGTTCCGTCCTAAGTGCAGGACTTCACACTTGTCCTTATTGAACCTCATGAGATTTCTTCTAGTCCAATTCTCCAATTTGTCGAGTTCTTTCTGAATTCTAGCCCTACCCTCCAGTGTATCCACTGCTTCTCCCTTCTCCCCACCAGCTTGGTGTCTTTTGCAAACTTGCTGAGAGTGCACTCCATCCCGTCTCCCAGGTCATTGGTGAAGATATTGAACAAAACCAGCCCCAGGACCAACCCCTGGGGCACTCCACTTGATACCAGCTGCCAACTAGACTTTAAGCCATTGATTACTACTCTCTGAGTCCAATGATCCACCCAGTTTTCTATCTACCTTACTGTTCATTCATACAACCTGGACTTCCTTAGCTTGCTGGTGAGAATGTTGTGGGAGACCGTATCGAAGCCTTGCTAAAATCAACGTATACCACATCCACTGGTCTCCCTATATCCAAAGAGCCAGTCAACTCATTATAGAAGGCAATCAGGTTGGTCAGGCATGACTTGTCCTTGGTGACTCCATGCTGACTGTTTTCGGATTACTTTCTTCACCTCCAAGTGCTTAGAAATGGATTTGTTGAGGACCTGGTCCATGATTTTTCCAGCGACTGAGGTGAGGCTGTAATTCCCCAGATCCTCCTTCTTCCCTTTCTTAAAGATGGGTGCTGCTATATTTTCCTTTTTCCAGTCATCCAAGACCTCTCTCAGTCACCACAAGTTTTCAAAGATAATGGCCAGTGGCTCATTAATCGCATTGGCCAACTCCCTCACCACCCTCAGGTGCATCACATCTGGACCTATGGACTTGTACATGTCCAGATTTTCTAATCTCTAACCTGTTCTTTCACCACTGTTGGCTGCTCATCTCCTCCTCACACTGTGCTGCCAGGTGCAGTAGTCTGGGAGCTGACTTTGCCTGTCAAAACTGAGTTGAAAAAGGTATTGAGTACTTCAGCCTTTTCCAGATCATCTCTCACTAGGTTCCCTCTCCCATTCAGTAAGAGACCCACATTTTCCCTTTTCTTGTTGTTGACATGCTTGTAGAAACCCTTCTTGTTACCCTTCACATGCCTTGCTAGCTGCAACTTCAATTGTGCTTTGGCTTTCCTAATTTCTTCCCTGAATACCCAAGCAATACTCTTATAGTTTCATAGTTTCATAGTTTCATAGTTTTAGGGTCGGAAGGGACCTAATAGATCTTCTAGCCCGACCCCCCGCCAGGGCGGGAGAACAACATACTCCTTCCTAGTTGTTTGTCCAAGTTTCCACTTCTTGTAAGCTTCCTTGTCATGTTTCCTGTTTGAAATCCTTAGGCTGATCTTATGAATCATGTGTGAGCACCTAACAGTGGTAACATTGTGTAGCACCTTGTGTCACCCTAGATAGATTCTCAGGGCACCCCAGGGTGCCACTGCAGTCTGTTTGAGAATTTTTGTTCTAGATGGTAGCTCATATGTACCCTGTATGGTTGGCATGATCTTCCTCGCAGATGGACCTTTCTTCCGGAGGATAGCTTCACGGGAATCACACAGACAGGAATGGCTGGTCATAAAACCCCCAAAACCAATTCTCCTTACTGTAGTATGAGTCACGGGGTTGGAAAAGACCAGGGGTAGTTTGTGTGCCCTTGTGGCCATCCCTTGCTCTTTTGGTGGGATAGATTTTGAGCACTGGTTTGTGCTTTGAATTCATTAGTCTTGGTGAGTCACCTGCTGCCTCCTGTTCTGAGGACAGATTTAGCAGGTTTTCTCATAGCTCCTCCAGGATCCTGGCAATGCAGAAGCTCTCCATGGTAGTCCCTGTCCACCAGCCTTAAAGCAAGAGAGTCAGAATTAGGGTTGGAGGAGGGAGAAATTGCCTCTTCGTCCTGCCCTACGCACCTTCTATCTCCAGCCTTTCAAGAGTGACCCCTGGGTAATGTGCCGACAGTGACAGGTATCCTAAAATAGCTTAGAGTCAACGTGCATAAAAAATTATCAAGGAAAGATGGCTGTCTACCTGGTTTGTGTTGCCACTCAACTTCTTTGATGCCCTGCAGGGGATTTTTACACAGAATCCACTGGGGAGAGAGGGAAATGGGGCTGGTAGCCATTGAAAATGCCACCAATGTTCATTTATACTGGACTTTATTCCCTTGTCTTTCACACACACCTACAAAAGAAATTCCTCCCCACCCTGTTAATTACCTAGTACTTTCGCTGGTCTGCTAGTGATGGGTATTTGGTCCCCTGGTTCATTAATTCCTGAGCTTTGCCCACCCCCCTCCTCCATTTTCCTCTCACACCACTCCCCAGTTTCCATTCCCCCTCACACCACTCCTCAAAGAAACACTCTGGCCTAAGGGACCTGCCTCCCCCATCCCTTTTTTGGACCCAGATGGAAAGGCTTTGCCAGCTGACTCCTCAGTTCTCTTATTATCAATTTACCACTGACACTCAGTAAGCATGAGATTAGAGGCTGAATGGAGGTTTATTATAGGGGTAGGAAGAGCAAGCCCCTCTCTGCAAGCACTCATATTCTTTCCTTCACCGTCTAGGACTTGGAACCTTTGTTCTTCTCCCCATATTTCTGCTCCAAAGCTTTTTGCAGGTTGATGTTTAGGGCATTTTTCTGATGCCACCTCCCTACAAAAAAGACAAACCACATAGTTCCATCACTGCTGCAATCCTAGTCCCTGCCCCTTAATGCCTACCCACCTATGGCAATGCTCAGCCTTATTTCCTCGTCTCTTCTCCTGTGATAATGTCCATCTTTAATTCATCAGCTTCTTTCCTTTGCCAGTTGCCATCCCATACCTATCACCCTCTCCCTGTTTTGGCAGCGCCCAACTCTGAAGCACATGGGTTGCTTGCTCCTGACAGTGGGCATACCTAGTTCATCAGTTTTCCTTCCATGCCAGTGCTTGGGGTCCCTGACTGCCCTCTGAATCACATCTGGGGTATAGGAATCCTTCATCAGGCTCTTGCTTTCCAGTGGGCCACCTGCAAGAAACAGGATACGCAGGAATTGTATACAGATCCTGCACAGCTGCTCATGCTGTGGACAGACGGATCCAGCTCTGGGCATGTCAAACTCCAGCCAACAAAAGGGAAAGGGAAAAGGGATAAGGAGACAATCTTGTCCCTCTCGCTGTATTTTCATTTACTCCGCTGTTCTATTAAGATCTGGGGATGATTACAAGATCACCTGGACTCTGACCACCACTCTCTTGCAGAAGCTTGTCAGCCGTAAATGGGTGAAACTCCCAGGCTAACTTCACAAAACCACCACCTTGCCTCTTAAACCTCTTTGTGAAACTCACCCGGCCATCCAGCACTGGGCCACACATGCGCGAACCAAGGTGACTCTTGTTCTCTTCTTTTGACTTCTAGATTTTCATCTTTTGATGTACTGCTACGTCATCCTCCCCACCTGTTCCTACCCTATTTTGTCTGTTTCTTCTAATGTCAATATCTATTTTGAGCTCTCTGGGAGAGGAACTGTCTTCTTTGCTACTTGGCTGCAAAATTACCCAGCATAACAAGGCCTTACTTATTCACCACAGTTCCTAGAAATTTAACAGTAATAATAATCCATCCTAGGTTGGTATATGGGAAGTTGGGGACAGAGTTATGTACCCAAGAGGTACTCAGATACCATAGAGATGAGACCAATAGAGTAGCTAGATCTCCAAACAGTTATGTTGGAGGCAATATAGAGGGATCACTGAGGACTCTGGATGCATAGCAGTTGGGGGAGAGGCATATCTGCAAAAACCTTGACTAAGGAAGAAGGATGTGATCTGAAGTGGAGATATTTGTGTGGCACATCCAATAGCAGGGGTTACAGTCCAGGTAGAGGAGATAGGTGGTCAAGTTATACCCTGTCTTCTCATCAGTTGGAAAAAGGCACTGTGGGAGACAGACAAAAGGAGTAAAAAGGGAAGCCATTATTTCTCTTCTTTGAACAGTGTCACAGCAGTGACGAAAGAGAGGTGCAAGGGGTGCAGAGAAGAGACTTAGAGTTGAATGAACACCTCATCTACCAACTCAGAAGACCAGGATAACACAAAGTGCGCAGGGAGTCAGTACTGGACCTTTGAGGGTAGCAGTGTTGGGCTGCCCACCTTGGAAGATGTTGGACCTCAGGTTGTAGCCCAGCTCATTATAATCAGCAAAACCTGTGGAGGTCAGGGGGTTTTCGAGCAGTTTGAGTGTTCGGTCGCTGAGCCGCTTCTGCCCTTCAATCAATCCAGCCTCACAGAGAGCACGGCGTTCCTGAAGATCACAAGCAATACAGAGTCAGACTTCATCCACATTGCCCATGTGCATCTTATCCCCTGGGGCATCTCCTTCTGTGAGCAAACATGAAAGAGACAATATAACCCTCTTTTACTAGTTCTGGGTGCACCCAAAACACCTAGACTGATTTAGACTTGGGTGCGACAAATGGGTGCAACTTAGGAACCAATCGAATTCTACCTACTAACAAGAGGTGGGAATTCAGATCTTTGGTGTGTACTGGCACTCCTACCATCTTGCCCAGAAGAATTGCGGATTTTAATTCTGACTGCAGAGCCCTCCACCCTCTGCTTATCAAGAGAAACAGAATGATGACAGAGCCTGAGAGAGGACACAAGGACATGTCAAACAGTGGATGTCTCTGGGTCTAGAGTTTGCTACGGAGAGCGGGGTTGGGAGGCGATGACAGGACCTGTCCCCAAGTGCAAAATTCAAACTGCTCCCTGCCAAACCTTCCAGGAACTGCTTCAGTCTCCAGTCAGTCGACTCTTACACCACCTCAGCGAGCAGCCACCCCGCTCCTTGATGGTCTGTGAAGCCAATTCCTTCCTCTGTTACCTGTTCTGCAGCAATGAGGTGGTCCACTACAGTGCTCCCGCAGTTGTGTTTGCTAATGGGGGGAATCAGGCTGCTCTTCCTCTCTGGAAGGGGCTTTCCTTCAGCTTTCACATCTTGCCCTATTGATGCTAAGGATTCCTTGGCACTTAAACCATTCTGGACTTCCTTTGTCTCTTTGTAGCGGCTCTTGATGGTCTTTCGGGGAGATCCAGGTATCCTGGGCCCCAGAGTCCGATGCTGCCTTGCTACATCTGAGTTGGTTTGAGCATCTTCTGCTTCCCTCTGGCTAGACTGTGCCAGCTGTTGGAGGGCCCCAGTCCTCCCTCTTTGATGTTGCCCTGCTGCAGGTTCCTTGGTGCCTGAGACATCTCTGGTCTCTTCTCTTTCTTCTCCAGCATCATCAGTCTGTGCAGAGGGACTTTTAGGCCGGAGGCTCTGTTTGCTGTAGCTTCTAGTCCAGAGATGCTGCACAGAGGGGGATGCCATGGGTTTAACTGGAGCAGAGATTGAAGGTGTTCCTGGAGCTACTGGGCCCTTGGAGATCTTCCATGAGGTTCTGCTGGAACTCCTCAAGGAGGTTCTCTTGTTAGTGGGCTGTACTCCTGCCACAATATACTCCTTGTTGGCATCTCCAGGTTCTGTTCAAAGACAGAAGGAACATATCTGGCATTGTTTTGGTAGTGGATGGTGTTTTAAATGGTGCAATAAATCCATCTGGTACTGTGCAGTATCATTAAATAAAAAGATAGCATTAAGGGCCACTCTCAAAAATGCAGTATGATGGTCTTCATGTTTCTTCTGAGCTGAGGGGTCTCAGCTGTCACTGTTATATACACAGGTATGTACATGTCCAGAAGCACACACAAATAAGCATCTTGGTTGCATACATGCATAACGAAGTATCACTGCTTGTGCACTGAACATTGTGCAAGAGTATTCTTACCCATGTAAATGTATGCCTACACACACAGCTGAACAGCACATGCTTTGTCTTTCTCATTCACATGAATACTCCCCCCTGCTCTTTCTGCTGGGCACATGTCCACATGAATGCCTTCTTGAAAAAATACACCTATCTAATCAGGACACATTTCCACAGGCACGAACTGTAAATCAGTGCAGACAGACACTCTTTTGCCCGCTTGCATATTTAACACCATGCATTTATGAAAACACACAATTACACAGGAATCCAGGTGTAGTCTAAGGGATGGAGAAAAATAACTAAACTGGGATTTGAGGGCTTGCCATAACATGTGGCATAAAAGAGGGGCATCTTTTCTACTGTATTGCTTACCTGATGGACTGCCAGCCTGTATAGACTCTTGTTTCTCTGCAGCAGGTATATGGGAGGCCAGGGCTATAGGCACCTCCTCAAGAGAGAAACAAAGGAGTGTGTTAAGCATAATGTGGGGAACAATAGACTCTGATCTGTCCATCTGTGAGAAGTAAATCATGTCTCATACAGATACGGGCTTACCACCTGTTTACTATGGGCTTTGTAGTACCAGATTCAATCAGCTAATTCATACATGAAGTCAACAATCATTTCTTATCAGAAAAAGTGGACAATTATGGGAGAATAGTGTAAAACAAAACAACAAGACAGCCACAGCAATACTGCAATACTGTAAGCAGTTACTGTGGAACTCCATTTGATAAGGACTGACTCAATTAGTGTCCGTTGACTGAGATAACAAAAGCAGATAAAAAATTAACAGAAAAATTATTTGTTACATGTCTTATGGTACAACATAGAGGTTTCAACCAAATCAGGACCCCATTGCGCTAGGAACCATATAAACATAGTGAAAAACAGCCTCTTCTCAAAGGATTTGAAGTGTAACAAGAAGAGTATGAAGGTGAAAGAGTAGAACAGCAGAGGAAAGCATCAGCCACAAAACACAGTACCTATGCAGCTGGGATTCTTGCTTCCCACAGTGATTGCTTTATGCTTTGCATTAGTTACCCTCACCCATTGTGGCATAAGTGCAAATGATAATATTAAAAAAAAATAACCTAGCCCTTTTGGGGGGAAAAAAACCACTGGTATTTAACACTGGTATTAGACTCCACAGGTTGACTGCGTTTTGCGTGGAGGAAGTTTGTTGGGTAGCTCTCGTGTGCAAACCTCACCCGCGCTGCTAACTTTTTTCCTTGACCTTTGTTAGACCTTAAGATTTGCATGTGAGATGATAAAACCTGAAAGCAAGGACTCCCAAGTCATAGCCCAGGTAAAGACCACAACCAGGCTCCAGCTAACTCCATGGGCACAGGGTTGGGTCCCAACTGAAGGCATGTCACTGTTCCATGTGATGAAATTAGGTTCTTTTCTTTGGTTCCCATTCAGAGCACTCAAATGCTTACATTTTTATTAAAATTATAATCAGCCTGCATGAATCAGTGTTACTAATTGGATCTCCTACCCTTACTTCTCACACTGGCTCTTGCCTTCTACCTACAGTAAAATTACCATTATTGATATTCTTCCTAGAGGCAAAAGAAAGATTTGATCTCTGAACCTGCAAGCCTTCAATTCAACAACTGAAGACTTTATCAGCTGTAACTCGTAAGTTCTGTGTACAAGGGGCTGGGATACTGCCTACTCTGTCTCCTTATTCCACAAAGCATAACCATTAACAATTAACTCAGATTTCCCAGTTTTTCATGATTTAAAGGATGTTAAAATTCACAGGCAGATTTGAGATAATTATACATTACTACTATTTATTATTTATCTTATAGCAGCAGCAGGTGGCTCTAACTGAAATCCAGGCTTTATTCCTAGATTAATTAAAGACCAGAAGTAGTCATTAGATCATTTCTGACCTTCTGTATAACACAGGCTATAGAGTTTCATCCAGTTATTCTTATTTTTTAACCCATTCTGCAGTAAGCACGGTACATACACGTAGTATGAAACGCATTTCAATTCAGGAGTTAGAAATAATGAAAACACATTTTTCTTCCTTTTTCTGAAGATCCCCAAATAAATTCTTAGCCTGCTTTACCATCCCCAGACATTTTCACCTTGTTCACACTTCCCTGTCTTCTGGTATTAAATGACCACAGAGGAACCTGAGAGCTATCACTCTGGAGCAAAGGACTAACTTCCTTAGGCAGCTGTAGCTGGGTCATTTTCACAAGGTCTCTTGCCTGGAAAAGCACTATTATTATTGTTATTATTATTATAATAGATGAGCTATATATATGTGAGATGTGGCCCGGTGTTTCCTGCCAGATGTGGTTCAGTATCAGCTGCCAGATGTGGCCAAGTAGAGCCCCCCATGTCCTCCACATGAGGCCTAGCCAGGCATCCAAAAGATGGTGAGATTACTATGGCAGGAAACATGAAATGATGTCTTTGTTTAGGTCAGACTGTCTTTGTTTGTGTATCTGTCTGAGTCCTTCTGTCTGATGAGTTGGTTCAGTTCCTAGGAAAGAGGCTGAGACATGAAACCTCTCTCTTAGAGGTATCTCACCTGTTCCATGGTCTCAGGGAAGATGCCAAAGTGATTCTTCTAACTGGGCAGGCCCTGCTGAAGTCCAGGAGTGCTGATGATGAGGTTGAACTAAGAGTATGCACCATAGATGGTTGCTAGGGAACAACCCTCCCTATCTGTGAGCTGTAGTTACTATGGGAACCAAAATAAACATCACAGTTTGGAGTCATCCTTGTTGCTTTAAAAAAAACAAACCAAAACCCTTCTGTCCCAAAAGGAGCCCAGACCTGATAGTTCTCAGCATAGTCATATGATTTTGTGAAGATTCTCACAATAAAATAATAATAATTAACAGGATTTCTGCATTTCTATGGAACGTGCCATCCAAGGGTCTCCCCAAACGCTCTCCAGAAGACAAGTAATGTTCTCCTCGTTTCTGTAGCTTGCTACAGTCACTCACCAAATCAGTGAAACAGTCTGGACTAGAACACATGATGCTGTAGTTTAGCACAAGACTGCGCCACCCATGTCTTGGGAATGTTTGGAGCTTAGACTCGCTATCTCACAACCCAGCTGGGATTTCACAGAGCATCTTACAGAGGAGCGTTACTTTCCTCAGTGTAACATGGCTGTTCTTCCTGCGGAGTGCGAAGAGGTAAGCGGGCACTAGGAAGGATAAGAGACATGCACAGACATGAAATGTGAAGATACAGATTTTATTCAGTGGTATGATAAAAAACAAAAAGAGAGCCCCAAAAAAGCCTACCCCTTGGTATTAGAAAATGAGACAAAGTATAAAGTATGATGATTTTCATACATTGCCCTCCCTCCACCACCTTTTCAGTGCTTGTGAAAGGAGACTGTAGAAAAATCTGATGCCTGACGGATGCTGTAGAAGTGCATCACAGCCTTCTTCCCTTCATGCTGTACTGCGTTTCCGCTCTGACACCTTATACTCCGGTGGGGCACGGCGGAACCACTCTGACCAGGAGCCATCATAGACAGCCACATCTGGTTTGCCACAAATGTATGCTGCCAGGGCAATATGGCATGCTGTGACCCCTTTACGGCATGTGGCAATGAGTGGCTTTGAGAGGTCCACCTTCTTCTCCTGGAACATGCGCTGAAGCTCCTCAGGGCTCTTCTCAAAGCCAACTTCCGTGAGAAAGTTGAAGAAGGGCATGTTAATGGTGCCAGGGATGTGACCTGGTTCCAGCCCTAGAAAAAATACCACCAGAGAGAAGGAAACATGAGAATGTTTAAAGAAATATCCAGACAGCAGGATCACAATCAGCAAATACTGTTAAGAGAATTGCTCACAATCTCAGAGGAGGGTGGTTGTATGAAGTGATGGACTGAAGGATACAGGCACCTTAGAGAAGACAAACTAAGGTTGAAATCCTCAAAGATGTGAATATTAGTGAGAGAAATCCCTAGCTTCTCAATCTACATCTTCACTGACTGCCTATCATGTATGCATACCAGCCCAGCCTGTGGCTTCTTTACTTTTTATTTCATCCAGGAAGAGCACATACCAACTGCTGAAACTTCCTTAGCCTAACAAAGGGTTTTTGAACCCAAAAGCTTTCTTAAAATTTTTTTCCAGCTATTTAAGTTGGTCTAATAAAAGATATCAGATTCACCCAAAAAACCTTGTTTGCAAAATCTAAGATTCTTCATGAGCAGGGTCCTCCGTCACTGCAGAGATGCTACAGCAGAATAGGCTAGACATTAACAGACAAGGTGTAAAGAGTAATGCAGAAACATATGTAAGAAGATATCAGACTGGAACACCCTGTGGCTATTTCTGGCCCCTAACAATTAATGTATGTGCCAAATTCACCAGAGTTGCCCATAGTCATATCAGGAGTGAACCTGGCCCTGTGAAATTATGAAATCATCTCTAACCGTCAGTGAAACAGGGCAGACAACACAAGTTCTTAAAAGGCAGAAAGGTTATAAAAATGTTCTCAGCCATGTGTTTGGATCCATTTCTCACAGGTTATCTTCTACGGAAATAGGAACTGGAGTCCATGCCCGGACCTGGCAGCCATGGCACATTTAGAGTCTGATTTGCCCCTACCATAAGGTAAATTGCATAAAGAACTATCAATGTGAGTGGAGAATTCAGACTGTATAGTACTTTACAGCTGGTCTGCCCTGGGATAAACAAGGGACAAGTTCTCTCTGCTCAGAAACTCTGTGAAAGCCATTCATATAAATTCATGCTGTCTGAAAATATGTTCCAAAGAATAATGCCATTAATACAAAGTAGATATCAAAAATGATGAATGAGATTTTAACTGTCTCATTGACATTCAAACTCTTTAAGTATGTGCCTGGCTCAATGCTCTCTCAGGTCAATGAGAGTTTTTCTGCTGACCTTCATGGGCTTTGGCTCACTCCCCATTAGAGCCGGGGATTGTACATGCTGGCTTGAAATTGTTTTCCAGTGAGTGGAATTAGTTAGGTTTGGATTTCTAAGGAGCGTGAAGGAGGTAATTTTTGTGGAGATCAGATCAGTAGGAACCTATGCTTCAAAAAACAAGACACCAGCTGTTCTAAAAGCATAGGCTGGTCCAGCTAGTCATAAGTTGGCTTCCCTTCCTACAAAAGGAGAGGATGAAAAAAAGAGTCCCCAGTTAATTTTAGGTCTCACAATGCCACAATCTTGCATCATGACACAGCATCACAATGTCGTGTCATTACATAATGATGTTTCCATATCATCACTCTTGGTTGCATAACCACAGTGTGAGGCTGCAAGACCTGTGACATTTTATTTTGTCCCGCAGGTAAAGGGAGATGGTTGAGAGACAGAGCCTAAAACAAGGATGAGCTTCCTTTGGAAGGCTGTTCTGCGGCTGGGTCACAAGTGACCTCCTTTTCTTCCAGACGGACATTATCCATCTCATTTGCTTCTTGATTTGTCTCCTCTGAGCTCAATAGAAATTGGCTCCAGCTCTCAGTAGGGTCTGCACACTTCCTTGGAAATGATTTCAGCATTGTAGAGCAAATATTGGGAAGAGAACTACTGTCACTCCTGCTCTGCTGCTTTTTAATGAAAACCATGTTTCCAAATGCTAGTCACTCATACTACTATAGACTACTAAAGCAGCACTTGCACGCAGCTTTCAAACCAGACAGCTTTTTGTTGGGAGAAAGAGTTAAAGACTCAGGGCCCTAGTCTCTCCCTGTTGAACAAAAGTAACTCCTGGGAAAAG